TATATATATATATGTGTGTGTTGTAGGTGTATATATATATAAAAACTATGCTGCTTTTACATTAATATTTTCCTCCACACTGAAGTTTTTCATTTCAAATTTGTACACAATAATTGGAAGTCAAAAGGAATTTGTCTGATATTCATTTTAGATAATTCCACAGAATAGTTTTGCTCTACATAGCACATAAAAACACAACCCATTTTCAGCCATTTTTGTAGCATGACGCCCTAGTTTGCATTAGGCCTACCATTTAAAGTCCCAACGATCGCGTCATATTGCAAGCTACAGTTGTCTAACAGGCCAACAGAAGTTTGCGGATAGCTTTTCTCAAGTTTCCTTTGTCTGCTGAGATCATTGTTAAGATAAGTAACGAGCAGAGAGCTTTTTGTATTGAACATTTCCTCACCGTCAACTCATTTTGTAAGTTTCACACAAGGTACAGTAACAAATGTTAAAGTGCCTTGAATGTCTTCTTTGATGTCCAGGGTGGAAATGGTCCATTGCTTAAGACATGTAGAGAGTCAGTACAAAAAATTCCCAGACAAAACGACCACTTCATATCAAATACACACCGTTCGCACCCCTTTAAACGTGACCAGAGTGCAGAATTCGGGAGATGAGGCCCATGAGACGTCTGTCTGTAGACGATGTCTGCAGCAAGGACATTTCCTACATCTGAATGGTCTGAATTTTCAAGACAAATTTTCATCTACCACTTTCCTTTTCGCAAAGCTGACATGAAGCAGAGGATAGCAATCTGTTCATGATTCCTTGATCGTCTTGAAAAGCGTGAACATTCCTCTATGACATTTGATTCCTTAGCAAAGCCCATATTCACATTTCAGAATATGTTAACTCCACAAATGCCTATGAGGGCAACCTCACACGCCACCCAACTGTCTCTAAAAGCATCGCCATACTGTAAAGTGCACAGTGTGTGTAGCTTTGAGCACTCTTGGTCGGGTGGATCTTTGTTTTTGGCCACCACTGAACATTACAAACGACGCATTAAAATGAGACGAGTCCATAGGAGAACATATTATACCACACTAGTTCTCGGAATTCGAGAGTTAAAAACATGTTTTCTAAAACACTGCAAGAGAAAAGAAATATTATTATTTAAATATTACGGGGATGAAAAGGGTAGATTTTAAACAGAAAAGGAAGGGGAAAAACAAACCAATCATTTCATGACTCTCCTTGAATTGCAAGATCTTATAAATTGGTGCATTTTGCGTTTATAGATGGTTTTTATAAAAAGCCATTTCGAAATCAATTTTCTTCTTTATGAATTTTATGTCAAACAAGTTCCTTTTTAAATGAATTATATCTATTACAGATTACAAATTTTGCGCGAGATATCCAGAAAAAAGGGTTGTACAGGGTTTTTTTTAATCACCCTGTATGTAGAATAGTTCTGTAATATGAGAGCTCTCATGTGGGGACATATGCAAATTCCATATTATTATCATCATTGTTATTATTAATTTTTTTTATTAATATCATCATCATCATCATCATCATCATCATCATCATCATCATCATCCTCATCATCATCATCATCATCATCATCATCATCATCATCATTGTGGTTGTTGTTATTATTATTATTGTTGTTGTTGTTATAAGCATCATTAGCCTTAGTATAACTTTTATGCCAGTATTGTGGAAATAAAGAATCTAAACATCTCAAACAAAAGTGTTTCAAAAATGTGAAACATTTCCACTTTTAGTTCTGAAACTATTAAATGTGTACATGCAGACACAAGTACACACACACACACACACACACACACACATAAACGCGCACAAACACACACACAAACATATAAACATACATACACCCGTACATTCATACTTGAATACATGACATACAAAAACACACACACACACACACACACACACACACACACACACACACACACACACACACACACACACACACATATGCTCCTGCAAATTCCTATAACATCGCAATCTTGCATTTACTTACTTGATACTCCATTGCAGGGAAGAATTCCTGAATTTAGAACCATTAGCACATGTTTTAAGATAAACACTCTTAACCCAAGGCCAAAACGGTCATAACCGCTTACTTAAATCTGTCAACTTAAGCAGATTTGACAAACGACTTACTAAGAAACCTACAAAGTGTGACAACAAAAGCAGCACAGTTGTTCTACAACAACTCTGAACTAATATGTAATCAATATGATGCTTAATAAATTAGTGTTGTTTCAACAAATTGTTGATATGGTTGGGTTTTTTTCTTTTTCTTTCTTTTTTTAACCAATAAATATTGAATAATTTATGTTATTCTTTGTTGCGCTCTCGTCAAACTCAAATCTTCCGCGGGCAGCAGCGAAGAGTCTTACGTTAGATGGGGGCGTAAGGTAGTTAAAATCAAAGTCTCTCTTAAAACTGTCGAACGTGTGAAATAGAAGTTACGTACATCTCTCGCTATCTTCTATGCAGTAATATGCATTAATAACCTTTTGCCTGCGTAGCATTTCTGCTGTATTCGTGGGTGGTGAGAGAGTGCTATAGTGTGGTTTGCTTCTTCTTCCCAAGAAACATTTATCGTCCATATCTTTTTCTTTTTTAATTTTTATTGTATGTTATTCTCAAGAAACATGCCACATCTTCAGCACATTTTAGACCTATTTGTGTTGCAAGTACCATACAGTACTAAATCTAAAAATCTGCAGCAATCAATTGGTTATGCTGGGAGAGATCCTTAGAGTTGTATTAGTATTACAGGAGAGTGCAACAATATCCTTAGTGTTTAGAATTTCTTGTTAAACCTCACTAAATACTCCTGTTCTTAAGGGAGATTACATCTAGTACTTAGTCTTCTAGGATAAGGACGAAAACCTCGGCTGACCCTGACTAGTAGCCCGCCTCCTAACTGATATAAATTGTGTCTATGGAAGAGTAAAACACCTACACTTAGAAATAAGCTTTTCAAACTATCTGAAGAACCTTTTGCATATTTAAAAACCACATTCTATATGTTTGAGAGCTCAATCCTCTGTGTCCTACAAGTCACTCTGCTCGCAGCAATTATGTATCATTGTGTTCAGATAGTTTGAAGGTTGCTCTCGTGGTCTAAAGGTTACCGTGTTCGCCTCTCATTCAATAAGTCCCGGATTTGAAACTTGACAGGGAAGGACAATTTTCCTCTCTAAAATTTCCTGCTTTTGCCTCCTTTCCTGCTCTCTAACATTGTTCTGTCGTCTGTTTTCGTCTCCACTTTCTGCTCCCTCTCCCATGCCCTGTACCCTCTCCTCTGGGCCCCAGACTCTTTCTGCGACCTTTTTACTGCTACTTCTTGGCTCCTTCTAACTGTTGTCTATCAGCCACACCCCTGATCTTATAGTAAGTAAGATCTAACACCTAGCCTTCTCGGATGTGGGTGAAAAATCTCGGAGGTCCTGTGTGTAAACTTGCAAACGTTAACGATCCCTTGGAGGTAGACTTTGGCCACCACTCTGGAAAAATTCAAAATTCAAAATTCCTATTTGTCCCACACGCTCATGTGACCTTATGCAGTTGCGAGCGCCGTAAAACACGTACCAAAACAAACAAACCAGATTGTTTGAAGGGGTCAGAAATAAAGGTATAAGTCATCTTGAGGTCGTTTCGAGAACATTGACAAAATAATTAAACTCGGGTATGATTATAGTACCCGGAGCAGGTAACTTGTGAAGGCCCTAACTTTGATTTATAACTATCCAGTCATTTTATTCAAATGCTTTGTTGTGTCTCTCAGTAGATCTAGATCTATGTGTTGTCTTACTACAAACCCAATTTAGTTTTTTTAAAGATTTTAGCAAAATGTGACTAATACACTTCATTTTGCTGAGGCTTTCAACAAGTATTTGCATTCTTATATCAGGGGAAACGTGGGGTTGGGCGAAGGTGGGGTGGGTTTTTAGTTTTGTTTCTTTGTTTTTTGTTTTGTTTTGTTTTGTTTTTTTGTCTGCATGAAAAAGACTTTACACCCTGTGTCGACTCCATAAACTAACCAAAGTCGATATTCCTAGGTGTGACTGCTGCGTTGTTAAGAAAAAAAAATCAACCTCAGGCCAAAGTTCGAGTCAGGGTGCCTCGTCTCGCTTGCGCCAAATGGATCGTGCGAGGGATGGGCACTTAACTCTTTGCGGACGCGCATTCTGTTCATTCGAACGCTTGAAGACACGATGTTCGGGAATACTAAAAGAAAAATAACTTCGTTATTCATCCGGCGTTTCCAATTCTGTTTCCTTTATCTGGTACTTAAAAAGACAAATAACAATAAGATGTACTATGCAAACGTGTGTTTCTAGTCTGTATGATGGTTCAAAATATCCCACAACTTTGCTTTTGATCTGCTCCTGTCGGGCATATGTGTCCACTTCGTCCTTAATGAGTTAAGGTAGACACAGCAGATGTGCATAAGTTATGAAAAACACTCCCACAGAGGAAGGGGCGGGGAAGGATTAACACCTGCACAGTCTGGGTGATCACACCCTATACGAGGGGCAAACACACAGAGATTGATTTTCACGCTTTTTGAAAAGAGGAAAGGGTTCGTTTTGGAGTTACCCTTCCCCTAACCCCTAGCCCTATTCCCTTTTGTTTTCAGTCAAACCTACTCTCTTCCCCTCCTCTGAAGAACTTCCATATTATAAGCCCTCCACTTGTCTCTGGATTACGACCCTTACTTTTCTTGTTCAGAAACCTATGTTCTATCCCCATTTCTCTGTCTGCGTATCTGTCCGTATGTCTGTCTATTTGCATGTGTGTCTGTCCGTCTTTCTGTCTATCTGTCAGTCTGTCTGTCTATGTATGTATGTATGTATGTATGTATGTATGTATGTATGTATGTATGTATGTATGTATGTATGTATGTATGTATGTATGTATGTATGTATTTAGTTTTAGTAGACGTTTTACGGCGCTCGCAACTGCAAAAGGTCATATGAGCGCCAGAAGATTAGAGGTGTTACAAGAGAGTAACAAACATAAAAAAAGAAGGTGAGATAAGGACGATAGATGTTTGATAGGAAAGAAGAAGCAAACCACACCATAGCACCCGCCAACCCCCCACGTATGAATGTATGTATGTATGTATGTATGTATGTATGTATGTATGTATGTATGTATGTATGTACGTATGTACGTATGTACGTATGTATGTATGTATGTATGTATGTATGTGTGTATGTATGTATGTATGTATGTATGTATGTATGTATGTACGTATGTACGTATGTACGTATGTATGTATGTATGTATGTATGTATGTGTGTATGTATGTATGTATGTATGTATGTATGTATGTATGTATGTATGTATGTATGTATGTATGTATGTATGTATGTATGTATGAAACCACCAGCAATATGAGTCCCAACACGGCGTTTTCAGGCACTCGTCACCTTTTGGGCATATGGAGTTAATAGAATCATCTTAAAGTCTTGCTTTTGATGAGGAAAAATGTTCTTATATCATTTTGAATAAAAGTCGAGACATTTGTGAATAAAAGAGGGGCTAGCGGCTGGGGTCGGGGCTGTTGTCATTGATAAAATTTGCAAGAAAATGGCCACCAACATTGGGTGACGTCCAAAGCTTGTATCTTTGGAAACTTCAATTTTGTTTTAGGGGCAAAAAAAGGTGTTGAGCTTTTTTTTTTTTTTTATGTAGTCAATCATTATTGTTCATCCACCAGAGGGAAATGTTGGTTTCTTCGATTTCAAAATTTTGATGAGAGCCTAATTTCACAATGACGATACATACAATTACTATCATGAGCATACTTCCACATAGGGAACTTTGATAAAAAGAAGTTCACGTCAGTCATTCGGTGAGTTTCAATAGACTTCATTACACAAGAAAACACAACAACTATGTTTTGAGGGTCTAAACACTACGAAGACACCGTATCAGCCACAACACGTTTCCACCTCCAAGTTAGGTTTCGGAGGTTTCTTCTTGCTAATTCTTTTTCGACTTCGACTTCGATTTCCACTTCTTTTTTCGACCTCCTCCTTGCGTTACTTCGATTGGCACGTCTGTCATTAGAGTAACAGGCGTGGGATGTCCATCAGAGTCGATGTAGAGGAATCTGAAGAAAATACAGAAAGGCATCCATCAAATAGACTTGGGTACTCTTTCAGGAGGTATCTCTTTCGCCGGGAGGGATATATATATCACACACACACACACACACACACATATA